AAAATTCTTCAACTTGAGAGGACTTTTTACTTACATTTACTGGTCAATATCTTGAAGGTAATAGTCTCCTCTGTACTCCTCCATTCCTCTGATTCTACAGGAACTGTTACTATTATATACTGCAAACACATATTTCTTCGTTTTGTTAAAAGAACTCTTACCAACATACAAATTATTTCTGGTGCAGAACAGAGTGCAGAGAAGTTTTTCTAATGCATAGTTCTGTTTGCTTCAACTTCAGCATGTGGTATTCACTTTTTAGAGAACACCTACAGAGCTGTATCTTCTCTGCCATACAGTATCACGTTCTGTTTCAATTAAGCTTTGTTTGCCTTTGTTTCATGAGTGACCCAACTAATCTATCAATTTCACAAATACAGTATTTACAGTAAACTTTAAAATAGGCTTGATGTATTTTTGCTGCAACAAAAAAGGCCACTTAAGCTTTCCACTAGAATAAAGTTCTGGCATGAAGTCATTCAATAAGACTTCCTCCCACAAAAAAAGGTCAAAGTTTCCTCAAAGACATTTGTAGAATACAGAAATTAATTATATAACCTAGAGACATCCTACATTAGACCAAAAAAACCACTCAAGAATCTATTACAGTAAGTTGAGTCACAGTACCTCCAGAAATCAATTCTTCTTTCATCCTTTTACCTACCAACATTATTCCAGGATCTTGTCATTCAGTGCAATTATGGTACAGAAGAGAAAGCATGAAATAAGTGTTGCAAACATACAGCCAATTCCAGGTACAGAAACAGCTTCCAAGTTAAGCCTTTTAAGAGTCTTGTAAAAACTGGGCTAAGTATGAGTTTAAAATGAACAATCTCAGACCTCAAAAAAAATACTATTACATTTACACCTTAAAAGGCAAGTCACTTCACACGCACTGATGCCTGTACACATGTTAGAGCATAGACATGACTTTCAGGATTCACTCTCAATGTAACATGGGAGAAACTAGGTGCAGAACTCCCAGTAAAGTTAACAGGAATTAAACAGCAATGCCCCTTCATATTATTCAATGATTAAGTATCTGATGTATTGTGTGCAAAAGGAAAATCTTAATTTTGTATTGAGAAAGTAAATACTGAAATAGAAACAACTTTTAGCACGACAGATGTATTTACTTACAGCATGCAAGGTTTGTTTCTATGTATTTGAGCAGCCAACAGCCACTAACAGCCCTTAAGTTTTTACAAGTTCAAAATTACAATCTTCACGTAAGTAGCAATTGCTTACAAAAAGTTCACGACACTCCCTGGGAAATAAGCAAGAAATGGAGTAAAAAATACTAAAAGCAGTATTAACAAGATAGTAGTAAAGGAAAACATAATAGCTTTTAAAATCCAGACAATTTAACACTGTTCTGGTAATACATAAAAAAGCCACATACTACATTTAGAGATGCTATTTTAAAAGAAATGCATCTGATTTTTTGTTTGTTTGGGGGTTTTTGTTTGTTTACTATTTTCTCACACAGGAGAAAATCTGTACATAAGCTTAAATAAAAATCTCCAAGTATGTAAACAATGGAGTTTGCCAATTTAACTTAAAATAGCTTATTCACCTCCTCTTCCCTCCAATTTGGAAAGTAGGTGGTAAGGCAAATGTGATCAAAGACTGAACAGATTCATAGGTGATCACACAGGAGAAAGATGCTTCAACCCCAGTGCATGGTACAGGAAACAGAAGTTTTTTTGTAAACATGATTTTTTTTTTCTACCCAAAAAAATAGCTTCTAAAGCTTGCCCAAGATGAATGCATATGTTAGCTCTGACTGAGGGCCAGGTCAGAAAAAATCCCGCTCCTACATTTAACGCAGCCTGAGACCAATTCAAGTCTCTTCAGCCTCTTGGAAAACAGAATTTTGTGCGAAATTACACTCTACATGACTGTTTGTTTCAGGTTTTATTTCATATAGTAATCAAAGAAACCAAATTTAACTTGTAGCTTTTCGTAGTAAATGTGTATTTCTACCTGCTTCTGTAAGGTAGTAGTATTTATCTCCTTGGGACAATACGACCTGGAACTGAGCAAGTTCACTAGCAGTGAGATGAATGTTTTTGCACCACTTCATGAAAGGTTTCAAGTGTACCGTCCTTCTGAAGAGACATTTAACTACCTTCTGAAGTTAGGATAAATTTACTTATAAATAGTTTTGTACCAGCTGATGCTTATACAAGAACCAGTTTTCATGTTCAACTCTAGGAATTCCTTAGTGTAAAGGAAGTGCTCCAGTTCTACCTGCAGTTTCATTATGCCCGATTTGAAGGATCTCAGCTTATTAAACATAAACATATTAAAATACTAATATTTAAGGGGATTTTTAAGTTTTTGCATTTTCATTCTTTATAACAGTATTCATATTGCATGATATTTTGTGCTCAACTGCCCTCATGACTGTAGCTCCTTATAAAACATGAAAACAGTAACTTTTTTCATGTAAACTTCAGTGGAGTTCTTGCAGTGTTAGAGACAGGGTTGTAAAGGTGCTGTATAAACATTCTGATATATATTTCCTGTGGACTAGACTATGTGGTACATGGAACATGACATTCTGAAGTTACCCAATGTAATAAAAATATAAAATATATCTTTACGAGTAACAGTAGTATAAGCTACAGTACAATTTTCCTTAGCCCATTGAAAGCCCTACCTGCATATGATTTTTTTTTCTCCCATTCTAGATCTTCCACAGTAGATTTTATTTTCCATTCATAGTACAACAGAGCAAGCACAGCTAGGAAAGACAGCTTTAAGAATACTCTTACGTTGCAAACTTTAAGTTCCTAGAAGTCAAATATGTACTGTAAAAGATCAGTCTTGCTCACTTGTCTCTTCTGTGCTAGAATTTAAACATGTTTTCACTATAAAATGTAAAGCTAGGATATTTGAGTAGAATATGCCTTAAGCTTCAGAGAAAGTTATCCTAGTTTTCACCAGTCCTCAGACTAATTTAATCTAATTTGAACTACATCGCTTGCTCAGGGCTTTAAGTGTAAGGCATTTTGTGTACATTCCGCCCAGTTGTTTATTTAATGACTACCTTCATGTGCAAAGCCAAATGAGTGAAAAACCCTCCCTCAAAACCTTGGAAACCAATGTACCTTTTACTGCATATTCAGGATTAAACTGCAAAAGAGGAACAGATAGAAAAATCAAATCCAGAAACACGCACTGAAATAAGCTAACCATTTTCTACCAGCTAAGGTCTTCTCAACAATAGAAGATGTTTATCACACTATTGGTTCTGAATACATCAGTTTGAATACATTCATAGTGGTGCATTCTGACTGCACTAAAGAAATGCATCAGAAAAGTTAGTTTTTCACATCATCTAGTGCTGGCGTACCCTAATTTTGCTGCTCTGAAGAGATTTTGTTAATTTACATATTAACAGTTTGGAGATGAGCTCCAATACAAAACCCTCTTCCAATTCCAAATATTGTTTACAAAAAACTTAAGCTTTGTATTCTATCACTAGACTTTAACCAAATTATGCTTCTATTGGAAAAAATAAAGAATAAAAAATGTACAATTCCAAACTAAGTAATTCACATCTGGCCAGACAATAAGACTGTTCCTGACATGGGAAGAACAGATTAAGCAACACATGAATATAGACAAAATGAAACACGAGAGGCATGTGAAATTACAGTTGAAGGGTCATTTTCTACTCATCACTGGGAAAAGGATCATGAAAGCTGAAAAGTGCATAATAATTCAGTACAACTTAGATATGCACAAACTGTTTATACATTGACCATACTATCTTGACTGCTCGCAATCTATCAGAATGATTAAAAATTTAATTTGATCATTATATTGTCTTATAGCTATCTAAATTGAGTAAAAGTGATTATCACCTTTAAATATGTTAATGCATAAAAATACATGTATTTTTTCTAGAATAAGGATTATATTTCCTAAGAAAGTATCTAAAAACAATGGTCCTTCTTAATTAGTTTGGAATAATAAGTGAAACCCATTTCTTTGCAGAACGGCATGTTTTTATTGTTTATTTGTTTAGATAATTAATTTTTAATATCTGTCCACTATATAAACAATCTCCAGAAAAATATATCCTCTTCCAGTAACTTACAATACACATTAAAAATACTTACAAAAGGGATTATTGTCCATTTATAACATCTTGAGCTTAAGGACATGATTCTTGGGTTATTTCATTTATGCAATTTTGATCAGGCTAAACTGAGTATTTTCCTGTTAACTTGAACCATGCCAGCAACATGATGGACAATCTAACATTTAAAAATATCTGCCCAATTATGTAAGATTTTAAATAAAATTTGGCATTTTTACATCACAGTATATATGGCATTTCTTAATTTAGTAACAGAAAGGCACAGTTATTAAACCATGAAATACAGTACCTGGATCATATACACTTTAGTGGTATCTACCAATACCAGTCCAGACATTTTACTCTGTAGAGGGGGCTAAAGAAAAAGCTTCTGTTTACTTCTTTAGAAAAATTCAACCTCATTACAAGTTTGGTCCACTAGAAATGCCTATTAGCTGAAACATCTTGAAGCAGTACTTCAGGAAAGAATAGAGGAAAACAAATTTAGCAGTCTATGGTCCAACAACTTGAGTAAGTGACTATGAAATGGCAAACAGGTCATGAATGAAGCTTTCTCATTAGCTGTCAGACATACCTGTTAAAATGTCAATGTATACAGGTACAGACATTCCCAGATACATTCACTGCATCACACACAGAGACTTTGTTACAGCAATAAGTCTAGACATAGCATTTACAGAGTTCAGCACTTCTTGTGGACTGATATTTGACTTTTGGCCCCATATCATACCCAGAGATGTGCAAAGTTCTTTAAATGCTTTGCCTTCTACGTATTGCTGTTAAAGACCCTGCCAAAGCCAAGCTCACTAGCCTTGCCTTAGCAAACTGTGCACCTCTTTGAAAAGCAACTAGCTCTGTTCTCCCCATGGAAAGTGATAAAACTGCATCAAGAAAGACCAATGAAGTGGAAGAGGCAAGGAACAATGAACATGAGGGAGAATCCAACCGTTCCATACGTAATATAGCGATAGGGAAGCTCAACTTCCATGCGTTGTCTTGCTTTCCGTACATTGTCATGTGGTACGCGAAATATTTTACACGCCAGTGGAATAGTGGCTTTTTTCATCGCTACTTTTGTTAACAACAGAACTATTACTCCAATCAACAACCGCAATATGGCTTTTCCAAACACAGTCACAGTGAGAGAGGAAAGTGATAAAGGTAAAGTCTTGGGAGAAGGATCTAGATTTAGACCCATCATGTAGTTAACGTGAGAGCCACAGGCTACTCCAGCACCACAGCCCAGTATCTGAGCTGTGTCGCCTCGAGACGTGCTCCAGGTGTCTAGAGTGAAAGAGAAGATGCCCAGGGCTAAATGGAGACTGATGATAATTAAGGGTGCATATTTGTAAGTTAAGTTGAAGTTATCGATCAGGTCCACAACTGGATGGAAGACAACCAAAATAAGAATAGCATACAGAAATCCAGCAATAACATCCTGTCAAAGAGAGAAAGATATGGTTTCAGTGTACTCATTATTTCAAAAAATAATTTTAAGTTACTTTAGCAAGAAGACAAGCCTCATTGACCTGTTAAAAGCAAATTGTGAATTCCCATCTTCTTCCATTTACTGTCCATAATTACATCTTTTTTATATTAAAGGTAAGGAATTGCATTTGACAACCTATTAATAGGACACCTGAAACATAATCAAATCATGAATGATCATGAATGGAATTATTATCAAATGATCCATTATCAAAGTTGTAGATGTACAGATTTTCTAGCGGGGCCTGCAGCAACAGGACAATGGGTACTGGTTTTAAACTAAAAGAGGATACATTTAGACTAGATGTAAGGTAGAAATTTTTTACAGTGAGGGTGGTCAAACACTGGAACCAGCTGCCCAGAGAGGTGGCAGATACCCCATCCCTGGAAACATTCAAGCTCAGGTTGGACAGGGTTCTGAGCAACCTCGTCTAGGTTGCTCATGAACACGTTGAAGACGTTCCTGTTCATTGGAGGGGGTAAGGGTAGATGGACTTTAAAGATCTCTGCCATCCTAAACCATTCTGCGATTCTTCTATGACTCTATTTGCTGGCTACAGTGGTCCTTGTCCAGGCACTCAGCCTACCGTCAGCACAGTGCTAGCTAGCCCAGCTGGGTCTGTTCTGCCAACTTAGTCTGCTGTAACAGCTCAGCTCTGGATCTGAGTGCCTGGGTGCCAGGGCACAGGCACACTGGCAGCAACAGCTGGTAAGGCAGTGAAGGACCACTGCAGCTAGGCAGTACAGTGGCTTAGACTTTCCACTCCAGCTTCAGAATTAACACCACTGCAAGAATGAAGAATTGTTTTCCACTATTAAAGGAGAGGAAAAGGTAGCTTCTGTGGCTTCATACTTGATTTTGAGTTTTATTATTGTTTTTAAAATATCTTTTCTTAATTAAAAGGTTCCTTATGTTATTTTTTAATTTAGCATTAAATTTTAGTTACTGCTGATGGATCACTCAGTTGCACAGAATTATCTGCAGCTTTTGTCATCTTTATTTTTTTAAGGAGGAATTTGTTGAAAGCTTTTTAGAAATCCAAGATGTAGAAACCAGATCACCTTAATTCACATTTATCAACTTTTCCACATGAGCCAGGAGTAGGATATGCATCATCAGTTATTTGTATTGTTCCATCTTCAATGAATCACTTTTATTCACTTCCACTAATAGAATGCTTGATAAAAGCTCTCATAGAATTGACTGAGAGGAAAATCAGACTTTCTCATTTCAGAAGCAACCACAACAACTTTCTCCCATATTTATCACCTCACCCACTCCCACTTAGGCACTGTGGTTGATTTTATTACAGGTAACACATGGTTAACTGTATTCATTCACACATTACAAGAGGAATCAGACATGAAACTGCTGAATAACCTACTCTGCATGATGAATCACTATTTGTTGCATGACTTAAAGACATCTGACACTGTCATCTAAAATATTAGTTCATCCCACTGGCCCCCACAAAATGATTCTGACTTGGGAAGCCTCCTAATCACTAATGCAAACACATCATTCAGTTTTTCCAAGCTGCCTTATTTTCACATGCTCTTTTTACACTGCGTTCATCACCCAGCTTTACTACTCACTATCAGGCTTACTGTTTTCTGTTAGCTTTTCTCTTTCTAGCAAGTGATCCTCAAAAACCTCTTTAACCATACCTATTAATGGTCTTAGATTATGATGACCATTTTGTAGTGATCTTGTTTTCCCATTTTTACATTGCCTGAATTTGTGTTTCAGGTTTTTTTAATCCTATTTAATAAGCAATTCCATTTTTTTTAAGGATGACAACTTTGTTATGAGGTTTTAGAAACTTTGGTAAGTGAAACAATAGCATTTGGCATGGCACTCTGAAATACACATGCTTTGAGTAGGTGATGTGGAACCCAAGTGGAAATTTACAGCCACTCTCTCATCCTGTAATATTACTCCTACTCTGTAGAGGAAACATTAAGTCTATGATTTAGTGCAGTCATCAATTTCTGCACTGAAACTGCTATTAAACATCAGCTAAGTTTCAGCTGTGGACTGAGTTTATGAAATAAAAGTATAAATTAACAAGTTTGACATCTACTTTTAGCTATTGTACTCATGCCTCTGCTGAAGAAATCCAAGTATTCTGTTCCTGTATGGTAGGACATTCTATAAAAAGACCTATATACAATTACTGCACTGTAAAAATTTAAGTGTGATGGAAGTTTATTAAATTAGAACAACATTAAAATAGAAGTTTAGTAGGATTATTTTCTTACCAAAACTGAATGCATTCCCATGTAAATTCGACTACAGCAAACCAACAAACACCAGCAGAATGCAAGGATCAGTCCAAACATAAGGGGATACTGGTAGGGAAAAACAAGTGGAGAGACTGTATTAGAGTTTAAAAAAAAAAAAAATTAAAATAAATCACTCTAAGAATTCTATAATAATTAATTATATAATTAATTCCTATTAATGCAACTTATGCTTACCCTTTTCCTTGCCCTAGCCTACCCAAGCCTATTAGACCACCTCATTATTAATTAAACATTATTAGTGGTTTTCAACTTTTTCCTCATCCTCTTCCTTTGCCTTCCTATTCCTCAGGATATATGAAGTTCAGGGCTTTGGTCATATCTTCTCAAAGCAGTAAGAAGTTAATAGATTTCAGTCTTGCCATCCTAAGATATCCTAAATTGGCAATATGGGCAGAGACAAGCCTTGTGTTATAAACTGCAGAACAGTTTCACACTGTAGTGTTGTTAATAATTATCTAGGCAGAATCTAGTAGCTTCACCTGTCTTCTGGGAAGGAAGAACTCGCAATAATTTACAAATAAATTAAATTCCTTTCTGTAGTCCTTGACGCTATCTCTGAGCATCAATATTAAACTCCTAGAATGGTAATTGTTTTTGTTGTCTACAAAACCCATATAAATTTCCTATTGCAATCCACATTTATTGAACAAAAATAATCAAGGAATTATTTCAAATTATTTCCATCTTCTAATAGATTTTAAAATTAATAAGTACTGTTTACCAGGAACAAACAAAACACTTCATTCTAATAATTATGTATCAGAACATGAAGACACTTAGCATTTTAACTGTCTTAGGTTTTGGATAGAAGTATACCAATTCACATCTTGCAGCACATTATGAAATACTTGCCCTACTACCATATTGCAAAACATTGTACAAGACAGGATATGGCTTCCTCCTTTCAGTATTAAAAATAAGTATTAGTTATATAAAAGAAGCAGTCACAAGACAAAATAGCATGCTTCCAAAACTGTTTCACTTCCTACATAATAAGCATTTTCAACAGAAACAGGCAGTCTAGATGTACCTTGGAATAAAAAGTAAGAACTGCAGGCAGTTCTCTTGCCTTCTCCTTTGCTCCTTTCATGGGTAACCTGAAGGGTAGAATATCTAACAAATGAAAGAAAGTATCTTTAATCTTATTGGAGAAAGGCGTACGTCCTGTTTGAAGGCCACTTAACAAATTAACAAGCTTCTAAATGAGTTTTTCAATGAAAGGTTTGGGAGGAGATTATCAGTCTTGCACATTATTCCAACATTCTGTGAATTCTCAGCTCCAGGACCATGTTAGCATGCCAAACCTAAAGAAATATTTCTCAAACTACTGGAAAATTGGGAAGCTTATGCTTCACATAAGAAACAAATTCCATATTAAAATCAATTCTAAATGCCCAGCTCACAGTTGTTACATCTACTTTAAACTCCAATTCCTATAGCAACATTTGTCTTTTTTCTACAACATTCACCTACAAATTGTACCCTCAACAAAATTATGTATTTAATGATTCATTTCTAACTGAAATGAAGAAACAAATTCCATTTCCTGCCTTTCAGAATTATGCTAATAACGGGCAATACACCAGTAACTAGGTCACACTCAAGACATGACTGCAGAGTCATCAGATGCCAACATTGTTACAGCAGCCACAAAAGCAATCCTTGTACCCTGTGCTGCACCACCAGAATACATTACACTATTATGCCTCCTCCATCATTTGCATTGATCTCAGGGTACAAGTAATGCTGCCTGCACCAGGAAGATGCTTCAGCCGCACAACCTCCTGCGTGGTGATGCTCCGCTCTCCCTCCCGCCCCCGAGGACTACCAAAGCAGAAATGCTGTATGTATACGGAGGGACAGGTATATCCTATATCCTCTATATCCTCTGAAGTAGAGAGGAGCTTCTAGTACATCCTTACACTCTCCACAACATGAAAGCCTGGGAAGACAGACTTCTTGTTTCTCGGAGACTAGCAAGGGAAGATTTAGTACCTCCAGAAGCAATGCAGACCTCTTGACCAGAAAACCTAATACCATCTCAATTACTTGGTGGCAGAATGAGCTTGCATGTGTTCATATGCAAGTTTCAAACAGTTTTGCATATCACTTGATCCCATATGCCCATTCTTGTTTCCTGACGTGCATCTTTTGCACTTTCAGGCCTTAATCAGGGGTAAGGCTTTTCTTTAATAAGTATTTTTCCTGTGTTTCTGAAATACCTGACAGAAGCTGGAGCTTTAGCAGAAAGCCATGAAGTGTCAGGCTTAGCAGGCTGTAGCAGCTAATGATACTGGGGTGTGTGTGTGTGTGTGGAGAAGTTAGAGCAGCTAAACAGCAAGACTCTACGAAGATGGAGTATGAAGGAAAAGGTGTGAGAAGTCTTATTTTAAGAGTTCTGGGCAGGTCGTGTACAGCAGGGAGAGTCAGATAAATTCTGAAAATTAAAATAAATGTTTGCTCTCAGTTGGGAGCTCTCAAGGGAGGAGTGTTTGAGGAAGAAGGAAATTGTCAGAAACTCCAGCATTCAAGAAAAGTTCCCAAAGAGTATTTGGCTTTGTCATATCTCACTCTGTTTTTAATAATATTGAGAATAAATACCCCTTAAAATATCTGAAAACACTGTGCAGCTTCGTTCTTCTGTAACAAAACATCTGTATCCAAGAGCTCAAACACTTCTTTATTAAATCACAAATAAAAAGCCAATTATACATTTTACCCCGATTCATATCTTCTTAAAAGATTTTTTAATTTAAACCCAGAAAAATTATTCTTACTGAAATAGCTTTAGCATGACCTATCCACAAATGTATCTGCAGTATTAGGGACATGCTGATTTATGGTATTTTTAATGCATGATAGTAATAATCACAGAAGTCCTAAACCCAGTTTATTTCCACCAAAAGAGCTTATTCACTGCAGTATACTGAGCTGTGTTGTCCACAATTAAAAAGCAGAAGATCAAAACAATTATTCTGATTTCCTCTGGAATAATCCACAATACAACAGTTATGTCTATTTTTGTGTTTATTTCCCATACAAAGCATTCTCCTCTATGCTCCACCACTACATAACCAGCACACTTGGACAACTGTCAGTTTATGTTTGAAGCTTACTTATCAGTCAGTAAAATAATTATCAGTTTAAAGACATCTTTACATATAAAGTACAGAAATAAAATTTCATCTAAAGAAGGTTTTAACCTTCATCTGTCCTGGTTTCTCCCAATGTTACCCCACTGCAAAGCATCATAAAGCTGTATGTACACTTTGGGGCTCCGCAGTTCATGGCCTCCTTAGACACTACTAGGAATCAAGGAGAACCATCCCCTGCTTCAACATAAACAAAGCTCATAAATATTCTGCCTCCTCCTTGTCCTGCTTTCACTCACACCTTCTGAAAGCAGCCACTGGGTTCAGGAATTCCTATGACACCAAACTGGTATCACCTGCTTGAAAATCTACCTTCAGGTGATAAGGCAACCACATGTTTTGTCCTCACATGTAGAGGACAAGGTGACTGAAGGAGAATATTAACACTCCCACAGATCTTTTCGCTCAGCAAGACAACAGCTCAGCAGCATGCCAAATCGTAACACCAACAGGGGGCATCACCTTGATGCCATAAATTTACTTTCAAATTATTGTCTGAAAATAATGCAATATCGAGGTACCAGCAAACATTTTCCAAATGTTGTTTCATCTAGAAATGACTAACTGTATGTATTTTACATATATACATCGGGTATACCTTGGTTGTGTATTTGTAACCTCCCACTGCCCAGGCATATGAATTCCCCTCAATTATCTTCTATTAATATAGAGCTTTAAAGGAACAACCCTTTTTAGACACAAACATCTCAAACCCTGTCTCCATGCCCTCAAGACCATTCCATGTATACCCTCAAAAATTCATTATAATATGGCCATAGCTATCATGCCACCCCAACAATTTTTAGTATGGGAAGTATTTATTGAACTGCATACTGCTTTTTTTTGCCAAATTAAGGGAAAAAAACCCAACTTGTGATCTGAAAATCTTAATCTTATACAGAAATAAAGATACTTGCATAGTACACTTAATGTGAACGTCAGAATCACGTTGGCTCAAAACCAACACTTACCTGTCACTACTTTTCCTTGATAAAAGTACCCCACATTCCATATTAGACCAAATTGCTGATACCCAGCTTGCACAAGTATTTTTCTGAAGGCCAGTATACAACTTTGATAATATGCTGATAAGCATGTAGTACAACTACAATATTAGAAGATGAAGTGAAAGCAGGTGGAATTGCAGCACAGCAGAGATCAGAAACAGACACAAATTTAACACAGAGATTAAAAAGATACTTTGCTGACGTTTTGGCTTTAAAATGGTTGAATACTTACATTTCTCTGAAGGCATCATACCCATTAAGAAAAGTGTCCAAGTCTTGACGTGTATGACTAAGGGACACATCACCAAGCATGTTATTAAAAAACCAAAAACAGAAACCAAAAATAAAAAAAAAAAACCAAATTGGTTTATTTCTTAAATTCACATAGTAAGTGAAAGAAAAAGCTAGAAGTAAAGCTGAGTCAACTATTCATCTGCTCTTAGGCCTCAGTTTTGTTCCCATACCCAGAATCCTGTTAATCAAAGAAACTGCATTAAATTGGTCCTGTTTGGAAGTAAAACTACTCCCAGTAAGTCTTTCAGAATTTTATGCTCTATGTTTTCAATAGGAAATTCCCATTTTATTTGATTATATCCTCCAAACCAGGCTTGCAAGCTTCTGACTGGATCCCATCGAAAACGTTTCCCTCAAATGCCTATCCTCCTCCCTCCCCTTCATCTGACTTTTTGCCAAGAGTCTTAATAACATAACCATTGTTTCAAAATGCTCATAAGGAAACAATCTGTCCTAAAAGCTTTGACCTAGGTCAGAAAATTCCTTCTTTCACAATGGAACATTCTGAAAATAAACTCTAGATGCTTGTTTCTTTACTTTTTTAAAGCACATTCTACACTGGCGAAGTTTCCAGCATCCACAAAAGGTTCTG